AAAAAAATGGTAGAGCGTGCCGCATTACCCTCATGATGGGATCCATAGTGAATACAACCAGGAAAGGACGGGTCATCTCCACACGTACTGCTCTCTCTGCTTCTGCTCTATTTCTCTCAAAATGTCTGAAATAGTTAATTATTTACTATTTTTCAGTGCATTCTGGGCATTCAGGAGGGTCTCCTGATGTTATCTTTTAAAACCGCTTCTGAAAGCAAACACGCATAAACGCGCATAAATGCAGTATGCAAACGCGGCTAAACTGACGGTTTTTAACCACTTCATGTCAGGACACTTTTGCAATAAATAATCTTTCTTCATAAATCTTGGCCAAAATTTATTCAGTTATCTTTTTGGTACAGAAAAATAACCCAAAATTAATATTTAAAACCAAAAATAATATTTTTTTTTTTTTATTTTTTTGTTTTTTTTTTTAAACAGTCACCCTAGCAGTACAGTGTCACCATAGTGACACTGTACTACTTGTGGGGGGTGAAGATTTTTTTTTTTTTTTTTTTTTTTTTTTTTTACACTGATTGCTTTTACACCCATAAAGGCTGTAAAAGCAATAACTTCTCTCTGGCTGCATTCTTGCAGCCATTGAGAAATATTGTGTGAGCTGCAGCTGTGACTGGTCACAGCTTGTCACATGGTACAAGGATGTAGTGAATAGCCCTGTACCATGGGATCTCTGTGATCATTCACAGATGTCACACGTAGTAAGCAATGATGTCAGAAGTGACATCTTGCTTACACCTATTCATGTGATCATTGATTGGCCAAACAGTGATCACATGATCAGGACCTCACACAGAGGTCCCGTACAGCGATCGGTGTTCCAGAGGACACAGTGGGCACCGGACGATGGTGCCACATGTTCCCAGGGAGCACACACACAATCCAAAATGGCGGGTGCCATTTATGAACGGCAACCTACTCCTGGGCTGCCACCGACCGGCCGTTTATATACAGCGACCAGACGGGAAGTGGTTAACCTACATTTCCAGCAGTCAGTTTCCATCATCAGAAGAGTTTCCAAACGCTCCGCGTACATGAGCCCTAAATCTCCTGTGACATAGGAGTGTCTTCTCATGATATTTGGTCTGCTCTGCTTTGTCCAGGAATCTCCATGGAAGAGCAGTGGTGTCATGCCCAGCAATGCTGAAGATGGAAGTAAGCCAAGTACATAATCTGACTTTATTTTACAGGCGCAGTTTTCAAGTACTATTAGGCAGCATCAGGAGAGAGGCTTTGTGACGCCACTCTGAAGCTGGGTACAGAGAAGAGACACTCCGCTGGCAGAAAAAAAAAAAGAGGGGAGCAGCACCCAGGCGATTCCAGTGACTTGAGTAGATTTGGGCGAACGGACGCCGCTCAAAACCGGCCCCAGGAGTCAGATGTGTAGAGTATGTAGAGTGGCCTCACCCACCACTCTAGCCGCACTCTGACGCGTTTCGCCCTACTCATGGGGCTTGGGTCAGAGGCTTCTGTGACCAGGCCCCATGGGTGGGGCAAAATGCGACAAAGGGCTAGGCTAGAACGGCAGCGGAGGCCACTCTACATACTCTACACATCTGACTCCTGCGGCCAGTTTTGTGCGGTTTTGAGTCAGATGTGTAGAGTATGTACAGTGGCCTCACCCACCATCCTAGCCGCACTGTTGACGCGTTTTGCCCTACCCATGGGGCTTGGTCACAGAGGCTTCTGTGAACAAAAACAAACAAGGGCGCACTCCCATCGTGCATTAACGTGGTACATATTTATTGAACAATTGTAGATATATACTCACAAACCAAAAGGGATAAAAACAGAACAGGTGATCCGTAACGGTTTGGTTTGTGAGTATATATCTACAATTTTTCAATAAACACGTGGTGTACCACGTTAATGCACGATGGGAGAGCGCCCTTGTTTGTTTTTGTTCACCATTTCCTAGATTTCCCGATCTCTGAAGGGCTGCACCTCAACGTTGGGCATTCAGAATTTCCTTTAGTCTGCATGAAGATTTGAGCGCTGGTTTCGTTTTGTTTTTACAGAGGTTTCGGTGACCAGGCCCCATGGGTGGGGCGAAATGCGACCAAGGGCTAGGCTAGAACGGCAGCGGAGGCCACTCTACATACTCTACACAACTGACTCCTGGGGTTTTGAGCGGCGTCCGTTCTCCCAAATCTGCTATTAGGTAGCAGTTTATACAGAGAGAGGGACCCCAAACCCAAAAGGTGGACCTTGCATTTGATTACAAGGTTCACTTTCAGTTCCCAGGCAATCTGATGTCTAAGCGGATATATTAGACCTTCGCTTTTTCACATAAAAAATACGGAATGTAAACACAGTAATGTACAAAATATGCGACACGTTTACTTCATAGCAAGATCCCTGGCCACAGTCTTTTGATCCAACAGGCACTGTGTAGCTGGATGCCAATCCCATGAATAATGAAAAGGGAGGGGATAACTTGTGTGCAATGGTCCCCCTTACATAATTACAGTTATGGGCTCCGGAACATGGAGTTATGTCCGCTGGGTAACAGGTAATGCAGGTGATGGGAGTCTAGTCATGTAGTCTTTTGGATGGCAGGTGAGGCTGCGTAGGGGGTGTGGCTGAAGTGGGTGGACGGGGCTGCGCCTGTCCGAATGCAGATATGAATAGAGGCCCTTCACATAGAGCTGGGGTTCAACTGCCGCCTGCGGCGGGGGGAACAGGATTTTGGTTGCATGGATTCGGCCAGGCTGGCGGGAGATCCAGAGACCACCGGAAAGTGAGAGAGGCGAGGAGTGTGAGGTAGAAGTTCCGCAGAGGACTCATAGCTGTGGAGGAGGAGAGGACAGGAGGAGCAGCAAAAGCAAGGATAGACAGGGAAGGGTTAAAAAAATAATGGAGGGGGACAGGAAAAGAAGAGAGGACAAATTATGTTTGGACATAAAGATGAGGAGGGGGCCACAGCATAGGTACACAGAGAGGAGGGGTCCAAGGTACAGGCGCACAGAGGAGAGGAGGGGTCCAAGGTACAGGCGCACAGAGGAGGAGGAGAGGTCCAAGGCACAGGTATATGGAGAAGAGGAGGAGGAGAGGTCCAAGGTACAGGTATATGGAGAAGAGGAGGAGGAGAGGTCCAAGGCACAGGTATATGGAGAAGAGGAGGAGGAGAGGTCCAAGGCACAGGTATATGGAGAAGAGGAGGAGGAGAGGTCCAAGGCACAGGTATATGGAGAAGAGGAGGAGGAGAGGTCCAAGGCACAGGTATATGGAGAAGAGGAGGAGGAGAGGTCCAAGGCACAGGTATATGGAGAGAGGGAGGAGGAGAGGTCCAAGGCACAGGTATATAGAGAAGAGGAGGAGGAGAGGTCCAAGGCACAGGTATATAGAGGAGGAGGGGAGGTCCAAGGCACAGGTATATAGAGGAGGAGGAGGAGAGGTCCAAGGCACAGGTATGTGGAGAAAAGGAGGAGGAGAGGTCCAAGGCACAGGTATGTGGAGAAGAGGAGGAGGAGAGGTCCAAGGCACAGGTATGTGGAGAAGAGGAGGAGGAGAGGTCCAAGGCACAGGTATGTGGAGAAGAGGAGGGAGGGGACCAAGGCACAATTATATGGAGAAGAGGAGGAGGGGACCAAGGCACAATTATATGGAGAAGAGGAGGAGGGGACCAAGGCACAGGTATATGGAGAAGAGGAGGAGGGGTCCAAGGCACAGGTATGTGGAGAAGAGGAGGAGGGGACCAAGGCACAGGTATATGGAGAAGAGCAGCAGGGGTCCAAGGCACAGGTATGTGGAGAAGAGGAGGAGGGGACCAAGGCACAGGTATATGGAGAAGAGGAGGAGGGGTCCAAGGCACAGGTATATGGAGAAGAGGAGGAGGGGACCAAGGCACAGGTATATGGAGAAGAGGAGGAGGGGACCAAGGCACAGGTATATGAAGAAGAGGAGGAGGGGGGGACCAAGGCACAGGTATATAGAGAAGAGAAGAAGGAGGGGTCCAAGGCACAGGCATACAGTGAAAAAGGAGGAGCGGAGGCACAGGCCCAGAGAGAAAAAAAAATAAGGAAGGGGAGGTGAAGTAAGCATAAGGTACACCCACACAGAGGACAACAGACAACCATACAAAAAGCAAATACACAGAACCACAGAAAAGAAAAATGGCAAAGAAAGGAGACATCACAATGACACATAATAAGATGTGGCAATACATAGAAAAGATTCACAATGAGGAGGAAGCATGCCATATACGGAGGCCAGAAAAATAGAAGGAATTGAATGACCGTAGAGAAACCAGGTAACAGACAAAAGAACAGCAGAGGACAGAGGAAGGAGACAGGACAGGGAAGAGAGGAAGGAGACAGGACAGGGAAGTGAGGAAGGAGACAGGACAGGGAAGTGAGGAAGGAGACAGGACAGGGAAGTGAGGAAGGAGACAGGACAGGGAAGGAGGAAGGAGACAGGACAGGGAAGTGAGGAAGGAGACAGGACAGGGAAGTGAGGAAGGAGACAGGACAGGGAAGAGAGGAAGGAGACAGGACAGGGAAGAGAGGAAGGAGACAAGGACACAGGGAAGAGAGGAAGGAGACAAGACAGGGAAGAGAGGAAGTAGACAGGACAGGGAAGAGGAAGGAAGGAGGGACAGGACAGGGAAGAGAGGGGAGGAGACAGGGCAGGAAGAGGGAAGAGAGGAAGGAGACAGGGCAGGGAAGAGAGGAAGGAGACAGGGCAGGGAAGTGATGCAGGTGGAATGGCACACCAGATCATTATCAAGGGATTGTAGAACAAAAAAGAATGAAGGGGACAAAAAAGAAAAAAAAAAAGGACAAAAGACAATGGGAAAAAAAAAACAAAGAAACCCACAAAAATAAAACAGCATCAAAATGCAGAGAATGGAGGAGGAAGAGGAAGAGGAAGAGGAGAAAAAAAAGGAGGCAGAATCGTGTGAAGAAAGTTTCTATAGTTCTCCCAACCCCAAATCTCTACTCTACTCTCCCCCCCCCCCCACCCAGGACAGAACCCCATCCTCACCTGAACATCTCCGTCAGCTCTCCTTTGATCAGCGCTACCAGCAGAGGGAAGCCGATGCAGGCCGGGACCAGGTACAGCAAAGCAGGCTGTGGAAGAGCAGAGAACAGCCACATGAGTACAGGACAAATACTGGCAGCAATGAGCCAATGGACAGGATTTGTTACTTTTACACATAAACGTTTGTAGGGGAAAACAACATAAGAAGGTTAAAAAATATAAAAAATGATGGATACGATTTTAAGATTGAAAATCCAAGCAGATATAGATATGTATATACACACATATAAATAAATAAATCCCAAAACCATAAAATATGTAACCGTTCGGTTGACATTTGGTATTACAAATCACTGCTACATTGTATAAGATCCCACTCCTATCTCTGCAATAAGCGGTTCTGTTGCGAATCCCCTGCGTGGGTGACCAATTGTTTTGTTGTCTTTACAACTCTCAAATTAAAAATTTCGGTACCAGCAAAAAAAAAAAAAAAAAAAAAACACACATACTTCAATGCAATACCTGAATGTGACTTAGTATCAACCTCTTGCAGTTTTTTTTTTTTTTTTTTTTTTTTTTAACAGCAGAGGAAAAGGCAGCATATGGCACCAATAAGCTGTGCTGCAATGCTCATGTGCTAACAAGGGACGATGATAGCTGAAGGTAACAGAATGACAAGAACAAGCCCACTGGTCTTCTGCTTCTCCTTCATTATCCAATCACAGGCTGGGAGAAGGACAAGACCTGGAAGTATTCTTTACTACAGCAAAAAAACAAACAAAAAACAAAAAAAAAAAAAACTAAACTAAAAAGCAAAACAAAAAAACACAAAACAAAAAAAAAACAAAAAACAAAAAAAAACACACAAAACAAAAAAAACACAAAAACAAAAAAAAAAACACAAAACAAAAAAAACACAACACAAAACCACACAATGTCTCTTTCCCAGCCAGATAGGGCTGTGAAGAGCGGGGACCGGATGGACAGAAATACAGATTCTTTGGCATTTGACTAACTCCCGTCTATATATTTTATCTGTGTATTTAGCGGACTGCATGAAGTCCAACTTGACAGAAATCTAGATGAATCGATTAGTCTCACCTGAGCATGTTTGAAGGTGTGCATCACAAAGATGGTGAGGGCCAAACCAAAGATGTACGCCAAAAAGCTGGTATAGAAGTATGTGTGGGAGTTCTTCTTTAAGCTGTAAAAAAAAAAAACAAAAAAAACAAAAAAAAAAAAAAACAACAGGCTTTACTTTAAATGATAGACATATCAGCTATTTAAGCCATGGTTCCCCTGCACCAAGTAAACTCCTTACAACACATTTTAACACTCCTCCATACCATGCAGGGATTGACTACAAAAAAAAATGCATAAAAGGTTTATATGGTTTTGTAAATGTTTAAGAAAGTAACTCAGGTTATCTGTAGATTTCTTCCTTGGGCTAAAATAAAATTTTGAACAGTAAAAAGGAAGAAAAAGAAACAAACCACAACAAATCTTTATTAAAGGTACCCATTATTTGGCTTTCTTGTATCACCAGAATACCAATGCATTATCAGAACCAAGGAAATGTTGGTCCCCTCTTTTAGTTAGTGAGGACACAACAGTGCACACACCCAGGCTCTATACTCACCTGATATCAAAACGGAGCAGCAAAGCAATGAAGATCCCTGAAAAGATGAAACAAATGTATAGTAAAAAAAAAAGCTGCAAACACTGATTGATCAGCATGGATGGTTTCCAACTAGTCAGAATCAAACATTTTGGACTTTGCAGCCTAAAGCCATAGAAGAGCCGTACCTGGAATGACTATGTCCCCAAGTCCCAACATAGCAAAATTATTGGCTTCAAGTCCCTTTTCCAATAGGTCCTGTGGAAAGACCACTGAGGGAAAAAAAGAAAAATGGGGAAAATAGGGTGAAGAGAAGGCAAAACTAGAAGGGTGAAGCAGGCCTGAACAAAAGAAAAAAAAAAAAACAAAAAAGAACCCAAAACAAAATACAAAAATAAAAAAAAAAAAATCAAAAGATTTCAGGAACTCCCTAGACAGGAATTTAGAAAGATTTATTGAAAGTCTAAATTTACTTAAAAATAATAACCATAAGGGACATTACTTACCTTCACTGAAATATGTCCCTTGTGCTGCTGTGTCCTCACCTAGCAGAAATCTTCTTCCTTTGATGCTTCCCCCACAATCGTTTGGTGTGTTGGGGGGTGAACAGAAATAAGGAAGCTATCACAGGCACACATTAAAAGTTGCTGTCTATAATCGCCCTTTTCTACCCCTCCATTCACAAAAGCCATACTCAGGGATGTTGGATTCGTATTGCTGGATGCATGGGGTCTGCCGATACAAATTGTTTTTAAAAGCCCCCAACATTCCTAAAATCCCCTCCGATTTAAATACTGTTTTGGTTAACCTCTTGGCGCTGGCCGAACGCCAATGTGCGACCTCCTGGCGTCTGGGCCTAGACACTGAGCGGCCGCACATTTGCATTCTATTAAAAAAAAAAAAAAAAAAAAAAAAAAAATATGTGCTGAGAGCACGCGCCGTGCACGCTCCCAGCACACATGCCCGGTACTCACGGAAAGGTCCCGATCTCCTCTTTCGATCCGGACCTTTCCCGATCATGTGACTGCCGTGAGGGCGTGTCACAGCGGTTACATGACCCTAAATCCTGCCCCCACCTCCTGAAACCCTTAAAGGACCGGGAGGCACCGGCGCCAAGGGGTTAAAAAACTTTTTTTTTTAGCAGGACAAGTAGATTGTAATGAGATTGGGGTCCCGATTTAGTCCCCGGACAAGTTGTTTTTTTTCAAAAATTTCCACCCCCCTGCATACTACAGCGTCAATGAATCAAATGTAATCCAAATGTAATCCTTTGAATCACCCGTCCTCCATTCACAGATCACGTTTCATTCATAGCAGCTGTAGTACAAGGTTTCTGTGAATGGAGGAGCTGGGTAGAAAGGGTGAGCATAGTTAGGCACTCTTGATGAGTCCCTGTGACAGTTCCCTTAGTTCAGGGGTAGGCAACCTGTGGCTCTCCAGCTGTTGTGGAACTACATTTCCCATGAGGCATTGCAAAGATTACAAAACTGAGTTACAGCTATGACTTGCAGAGGCATGATGGAACTTGTAGTCCTGCGGCTCTCAGGTTGCCTACCCCTGCCACACCAGAAGATCACGGAGTTAACCCAGATTTGCATTCAATATTGTTTTGTTGTTTTTTTTTTTTTTAATTTATTTTATTTTTTAATTTGGTTTTTTTTTTTTTTTTTTTTTTTTTTACAGGAAGGGTATATCCTGCCTCTTAGCAGTCAGTTTTGGAACGGTCATGTCCTAGCTTTCAGAGATATTTAAAAAGAGTGCATTAAAAGGAAGATGAAAACCAATGGATGTGTCTAAGACAGGGGTAGGCAACCTGCGGCTCTCTAGCTGTTGTGGAACTACATTTCCCATGAGGCATTGCAAAGATTACAAAACCGATAGGTACAGCTATGACTTGTAGAGCCATGATGGAACTTGTAGTCCTGCGGCTCTCAGGTTGCCTACCCCTGGTCTAAGAGGACAAAGGATGGAATTAAAAGGGGGGGAGAGGAACAAGGAGGAAAGTGAAAATGGAAGAATGTCAGTTTTAGAATGTTCACAGACATGGATAATTACTGTGAGATGCTTACATTTTATTGGTGCTTCGAAGGATTTAGCCACAGTCACCATGACATTGGTCCCAAATACCTGAAAAAAAAACAAAAAAAAAAAAACAAAAAAAAAAAAAAAACAGTAAATGAGTTTCTCTTTCAGCCCATTCATCCTCCGTATTGTATACCCGGCCCCTCGCCGCACTCACCCAGAAGACGTCGTAGATAAAAAGCCCCCCCAGCAGAATGCAGCCAGTGCTGACGTTGTTTAGGTGAAGCAGCTCCACTCCATTCAGGGCAAACGCCAAACCAAAGAGGTTATTGGCAATCCAGTGCTGGAAAGAATCAAAAAGGTCAAAACCAAAAAATCATGGTCAATATTTTTTTGTCACGTAAAGAATAAAAATTTATATTAACTGTGTATATGGAAAAATAAAAGCCTGTGTAAAAAGGAGGTTAATAGCTGGAGCCCCCTTTCCCCAACCAGCCCTGTTATTGGTGTAATTAGCAGGAATTGTGCCTTATTAGTGTCAGTAGGAGGAATAGTGTCCCATCATTGGTGTCAGTGGGAGGAATAGTGTCCCATCATTGGTGTCAGTGGGAGGAATAGTGCCCCATCATTGGTATCAGTGGGAGGAATAGTGCCCCATCCTTGGTATCAGTGGGAGGAATAGTACCCCATCATTGGTATCAGTGGGAGGAATAGTACCCATCATTGGTATCAGTGGGAGGAATAGTACCCCATCATTGGTATCAGTGGGAGGAATAGTGCCCCATCATTGGTGTCAGTGGGAAGAATAGTGCCCCATCATTGGTGTCAGTGGGAGGAATAGTGCCCTATTATTGGTGTCAGTAGGAGGAATAGTGCCCTATTATTGGTGTCAGTAGGAGGAATAGTGCCCCATTATTGGTGTCAGTGGGAGGAATAGTGCCCCATCATTGGTATCAGTGGGAGGAATAGTGCCCCATCATTGGTGTCAGTGGAAGGAATAGTGCCCCATCATTGGTGTCAGTGGGAGGAATAGTGCCCCATCATTGGTGTCAGTGGAAGGAATAGTGCCCCATCATTGGTGTCAGTGGGAGGAATAGTGCCCCATCATTGGTGTCAGTGGGAGGAATAGTGCCCTATTATTGGTGTCAGTAGGAGGAATAGTGCCCCATTATTGGTGTCAGTGGTAGGAATTATACCCCATTGTTAATGTCAGAGGGAGGAATAATGCCCCAAAGGCCGGATAATAGCAAGCAAAGGGCACGTGGCTCTTAGTCTGCAGTTTGGAGACCACTGACCTAAAGCATGACAGATGACCTGTAACATTACGGAGTGCCAGGTCTTACCTTCTTCAGGAGGTACCAGACCCCAACCACACCGCTGATGAGGAGACACACCAGATCCCGGGTATCAAATTCATAATTCAATACCTCTGCAACACAGAAGAAAAGAAGAATGTTTAAAGGCCCACTCTAGTGAAATGCAACTAATGATAGTATCCTGTACAGGATTCATATTCCTTCTTGTTCTGCGCGTTTTATTTAGATTTTCTCCATATAAAGGTTGGGAAAGACCATCCAACCCTTCCGGGGGTGCGTACAATGAAACGCGTTGCTGCTTCTGATGTAGTTGGGATGTTCACACTGCTGCCGCATAGTCATGCGATTTCCAGTGAGTCTAAGGCACTCAAATTGCATCAAAGTAGTGTAGGAACCTTTTTACAAATCTCCTGCGACTTGAGTCGCATGGATTGGAACAGACACAACTAAAACAGATGGGTTTTCAACTGTCATGCGACTTTAAGCATCGCAAGTCCTGTGCAAAGTTGCGGCAGTGTAAACCGGGGCTTAATTTGTCGCTTGAAGGAGAATTATTTATTTATTCCAATTTACGCAGCGCTTTACATATATATTGTACATATATTTTTTCAGCGTTAGAGGATTTTTAGTCCTCACACACGGGATGTTTTGATAATGCTGGTAATGTTAGCTGTGTAAACATGAGTTTTTTCAGCGCTTTTTAGCGGTTTTGTATTAGCGTTTAGCGGCATTTTTTCACTTTTTTTTTTACCCCAAAAATTTAGTTAAAAAAACATCCAAAAACGCCGGTTTGCCGCGATTTACCGCATTTTGCCACGTTAGAGTGTTTTTAGCCCTCATGCACGCTGGACGTTTTGAGAATACTGGTAACATTAGAAGTGTAAAGTCACGTTAAGAATGTGAGTTTTTCAGCGCTGTTTAGTGTTTAGCTGTGTTTTTTGTGTAGGTTTTTAGAGCTTTTTTTTTTTTTAAACCCCCCCAAAAAATTTTTTTTCTTAAAAAAACATCCAAAAATGCTGGTTTGTTGCGATTTGCCACATTTTGCCACGTTAGAGCGTTTTTTAGCTTTTTTAAGTGTTTTTGCATTAGTGTTTAGCAGAGTTTTCCAGCGTTTGCGGTTTTTATGACCCCCCCCCCCCAAAAAAAAAAAAAAGCAGTTTATGGCGTTTTACCGCGTTTTTTTAGTGTTAGAGCGTTTTTACAGCTAAAAAACTAGAAAGCCACTAGTCCTGGAGTTTTTTTTCAGCCAAAAAAACATTGATTCCAGTCTGTGTGTGTATGGGCACATAGGAGAACATGCTGAGGGGTTTGCTAGATGTAGAAAAAAAAAATAAAAAGCCAAAAACAGCCGCTGTAAAAATGTCAAGAGCAGTAGGGCTTTGTTTGTTAAGAGGTGGAGGCCCCAGGTACGGCCTCGGCACGGCGCCCAAGGGGATTCTGGTCCTAGGTATTTGCAGGTCCCCCCCCACCCCCCAAGGTTCAGCTCATCAGAATTAGTTAGGCATCCTTCAGCGAAGTCAGATTCAATGTATGTATTCAAGTGCTGGAGACCTGTAAGTTGCCCTCCTCAGGGCATCATCAGTGATCATGTGAACGGATCTTGGTGTTTGTATTAGCTGCTGCATAAAATCAAACAATGACATGTTCTAATCATAGCGGAGACAGTCACATTGTACGAGTGCAAAGCCTGCCAATGCCAATACTGAAGAAACACCTGAACGTTTAGCACATTAAAGTGGTTGTAAACCTCATGAAATATGAACAAAGCATCTCCCTCTATAGTGTGTACTTGTCCCAATTAAGAGCACCGAGTGTCATTTCTGTCTGCTGCCTCCATCCTCTGTGATCAGCAGGAGTCACTTCTGACAAGTTTTCCTGACACCAAGAGAAAAATGGTGACAGGGGAGGGCATAGTATGTGATTGACAGCCTCAGTTCTGTTCCTGTGAGCTGTATGAAGGGGGTGTGTGTCCCTTCCCTCCATTCATCTCTCAGAGCTCTCCTCACTGAGCTCTACAGAGTGTAACACCAGCTCCCCCCCCCCCTTTTCTGATAGCTCGGACAAAGTTTTATAAGTGCTGGATTTTGAAATGACGTAGAAAAGAGAAGACTGCAGAAAACAGTTCCAACTTATGTAGGAGGATTTGTTTAATCTCTGTCAATAACCTGAGGCCAGTCACTTCACTGGGTATATGGAAGGGTTTACAACCACTTTAATTGAACAAACTAAAGTTAGAAACTGATTGGCTACCATGCACAGCTGCACCAGCTTTTGCACTCTCCAGAGAGGGCGCATGAGAAGAGAGAGAGCGAGGAGAGAGCGCGCGCGAGGAGAGGGCGCACAAGGAAAGAGAGAGAACGTGAGAGAGAGAGAGAGCGCGAGGAGAGGGCGCACAAGGAAAGAGAGAGAGCGTGGAGAGAGCGAGAGAGGAGAGGGCGCACGAGGAGAGAGAGAGCGTGGAGAGAGCGCGAGGAGAGGGCGCACGAGGAGAGAGGGAGCGTGGAGAGAGAGAGAGAGAGGAGAGAGAGCGAGGAGAGGGCGCACGAGGAGAGAGATTGCGTGGAGAGAGAGTGAGGAGAGGGCGCACAGGAGGAGAGGAGAGAGAGGAGGAGCAGGAGGAGAGGAGAGAGCACAGGAGGAGGGCGAGAGCGAGGAGAGGAGCGCACAAGGAGAGAGAGAGCGAGGAGAGAGCGAGGAGAGAGAGTGAGGAGAGGGCGCACAAGGAGAGAGAGAGAGAGGAGAGGGCACACGAGGAGAGAGCAAGGAGAGGGCGCACAAGGAGAGAGCGAGGAGAGGGCGCACGAGGAGAGAGCGAGGAGAGGGCGCACGAGGAGAGAGCGAGGAGAGGGCGCACGAGGAGAGAGCGAGGAGAGGGCGCACGAGGAGAGAGCGAGCGAGGAGAGGGCACGAGGAGAGAGCGAGGAGAGGGCGCACGAGGAGAGAGCGAGGAGAGGGCGCACGAGGAGAGAGCGAGGAGAGGGCGCACGAGGGGAGAGAGAGCGTGAGGAGAGGGCACACGAGGAAAGAGAGAGCGTGAGGAGAGGGCACACGAGGAAAGAGAAAGAGCGTGGAGAGAGAGAGTGCAAGGAGAGGTGGCACAAGGAGAGAGAGAGAGCATGGAGAGAGAGAGTGAGGAGAGGGCGCACGAGGAAAGAGAGCGAGAGGGAAAGCGAGGAGAGAAAGCCAGGGCGCAAGAGGAGAGAAAGCTTGTGCGTGCAAGGAGAGAACGCAAGGAGAGAACAAGAGCGAGGAGGGAAAGCAAGCGCGCACGAGGAGGAAAAGCAAGCGCGCACGAGGAAAAAAGCGCGTGCGCACGAGGAGAAAAAGCGCGTGCGCACGAGGAGAAAAAGCGCGTGCGCACGAGGAGAGAAAGCAAGCGCGCACGAGGAGAGAAAGCAAGCGCGCACGAGGAGAGAAAGCCAGCGCGCACAAGGAAAAAGAAAAGGAAAAGAAAGAGAAAGATGGATAGATAAATGTAGCAACAGCAAGCAAGCTAAAGAGCAAAAGAAAAAGCAAGTCAGATTGTGGGAGAGAGAAAGAGACCGTGAGATGGAGAGAATTAGAATGCGAATGTGAGAAAAAGGAAGAGAAAGAAGAAGAGATGGTGGTGACAAAGGAGAGCCCATGAGAGAAGAAGGCAGGGAAATAGAGAGCGGTTTATCCAGACTATCAACATCTCACCTTCCTTACTGTCCCCGGAGCCCTGAGTGAAGAGCAGCTGATACTGTTTGTTGGGAAAGTTTTCTGGGAAGACCCTATTCATCAGTGGGCTGGAGAAGAAAAGGGGGAGACAGTCAGTTGCTTGTTAAGGGGGATCCAGAGCCTTTTTTATGCATTTCAGATAAACAAGAAAAAGAAACCAGCTTGCTGTAAACATTTCAACTATTTGAAGTGATATACTGTATGTACCCCAAGGAGAGACATATCTGCTCATTACATAGTCATGCTCTGCTTACCACTTTGCAGCACTTTTCTGCTCTAACATCCCAAGGCCAAGAGTGAGCCAGCTCAGTGAAAACCATGCACTGCCCGTGAGGCGGATGTCATATCTACCCTGAGAAGAGTCGGGCATGCTTCCTCACCTGACTGTGTGTGCTAGGGCCAAGACTCCCAGGATGAAGAAGTACATCGACAGAAGAAGATTTATATACTCTTGTGAGAAGATCTGCGGAGGTAAAAGACACGTTAGATTAAATCTCAGTATATACATAATAATAGAAAAAAAAAAAAGTATAAAATACACATACATACATATATACACTGTATGTTTGTTAGGGACAGGGAAATGCCGATAGTTTGTAACCTGGTGTGTTTCCATCAAACCACCAAAATGAATCAAAAAAGGATAGGAGGTTGCTGCACCGAGAGCGTATTTTATTACTCTTTAAAGTGGAACTTTAGTCAGAAAATTAAGTTGCAGCTACAGAATATAAAATATAAGTGCCTATACTATGTAAATCCAGGAATACACTGTCTCACCCTGCGCTGCGCATGCTCAGTTGCTCTCTATTTTTTTGGCACTACCGAATTTGTAGAGGCCGGCCTGCTGACGGCTTAAAGATTAACTGCTGCTCTGGGGCTTTCCAGCAAGAAGAAAGAGGAACCATGCTGGAGGCAATTTCCAGCACACATGTGGAATGTATGTTCCTTATTAAAGAACTTTATCTTTTATCAAGCGGTTATGGGAAAAGATCCACTTTAAAAAAAAAAAAAGCATATGGCGACATTTCAGACAACGCTGTCTTTTAGTAAGTAAATACAATCAGAGTAGTCATAGAGCTGAACACCAGAAATGACACCCATAGGCCTGTTGCACACGGGAGTAAAAAATGATAAGTATTTTAGTGATTTGAAATGAGAGGCACTGCTGTCTAAGGCAGTGCTTCTCAACCTTTTTTCAGTCAAGGCACCCTCAAATTATGAACAATCCCGAGGCACCCCATTCTAAAATGTTAAAAAAAACAAAAACAAACGACTTATCAGTAGCTCCTTTTCTATAAGTCTTCCAGGACAGCCCCTTGAGACGTAGAGCTTCTCCCTCCGGGACAGGAAACACATAAGCCCAGAATCTTAGGTGGACCTCCAGACCTCCCTCTTCAATATTAGTGTTTCCTCCAGAAGGATAGGTTACACGTTCCAGGAACCTATATAGGAGCCCTAGGCTTAAGTGGGTGCTGGTGGCTCCTGTTTAGGCAAGGACCTCCTCCTTGCCCAACGTGATCCCTCCATTACCTCCAGACCTCCCTCTTCAGCATTAGTGTTTCCTCTAGAAGGATAGGTTACATACATTCTAGGAACCTATATAGGAGCCCTAGGCTTAAGTGGGTGCTGGTGGCTCCTGTTTAGGTAAGGACCTCCTCCTTGTCCAACATGATCCCTCCATTTCTCCATTACCTCCAGACCTCCCTCTTCAGTATTAGTGTTTCATCCAGAAGGATAGGTTACACATTCTAGGAACCTATATAGGAGCCCTAGGCTTAAGTGGGTGCTGGTGGCTCCTGTTTAGGTACCTACCTCCTCCTTGCCCAACGTGATCCATCCATTACCCCCAGACCTCCCTCTTCAGCATTAGTGTTTCCCCCGGAAGGATAGGTTACACATTGTAGGAACCTATATAGGAGCCCTAGGCTTAAGCGGGTGCTGGTGGCTCCTCCTGTTTCCTTGCCCGACGTGATCCATCCATTACCCCCAGACCTCCCTCTTCAGCACCTCCATCCTTGGAGCCCTAACGTGCTGGTGGCTCCTGTTTAAGTACCTACCTCCTCCTTGCCTGACGCGATCCCTCCATTACCTCCAAGCCTCCCTCTTCAGTTTTACCCAAGAACCCAGGAAGACACTAAAAAACATAACCACTTATGCATAAACATACATTACCGTACAATACTTGGGGTGGAAAATCCCGGATGTCCTGGAAGACTTATAGAAGAGGAGATACCGGTAAGTCTAACTCTGGTTTTCTCAAAAAAAAACGTCTTCTAGGACAGCCCCTTGAGCCGATAATCAAGAACTTACCCACTAGGGTGGGGCTACTGCCTGGAGGACTTTGCACCCAAACACCTGATCCTCACTAAAAAGCAGATCCAGGCGATAATGCCTCACAAAAAAGTAGAAAATTTGGACCAAGTGGCCGCCATACAGATTTGTTCTGGTGAGGCACCCGCTCTCTCTGCCCAGGATGCTGACAAGGATCTGGTTGAGTGTGCATTAACAAACGGGCGGAATTTCAAATAATTTTTACGATTCCGCGATAGCCATCCTAATCCATCTAGCTATGGTGGACTTGGAAGCATTGGAACCCTTCCACACTCCTGCAAAAAGAACAAAAAGAGAATCTGAATCTCTGAACTCTCTGGATCTACTAAGATAGGTTTTGCAAGGAGCCTTTTGGCCTAACAATCTTTTCTCCTTTCTTGCTTGCGGGAGCAGAATAGAAAGTCGCCAAAATTATATCTTGAGATTTATGAAAGGGGAGGAGGAAACTTTGGGAAGAAACCCAGGATTTGTTTTGAGCACAATTCTATCCTCGAAAACTGACAAAAAGGGTTCCCTAATGGAAAGTACCTGCAATTCACTCATCCTATGGGCCGATGTGATTGCTGCCAAAAATACAGTTTTTAGAGTTAAAAACTTTATTGAGACTTCTCCAGAGGTTCAAAAGGGACAAAGGACCAAAGACAGATCCCAAACTGGACAGGACCTGACCGCCGCTGGCCTGGACCTGGAAAGGGCCCTGAAAAAAATACATATAAAAAAGGGATCCTGCTGGAGGGGGACCTGAAGGAAAACACTAAGGGCCGAGGCCTGCACCTTTTAAGTGCTGACCGAAAGGCCATGATGTGCCCCATCCTGGAAGAAATCTAACACCCCTGGGATATCCGGAGGGCTCCGATCCTTATCTGGCAACCAGGAGTTGAATCTTTTCCAGACCTTAGTATAAATAGCTCTGGTTACTGGCTTGCAGCAGTTCATCAAAGTCCTTACTACTCTGTCAGAAAACTCCTGAGCTTTCAGGAGATGTTCTTCAGTAGCCATGCTACCAACTTCAAAGTCTTCACCTGAGGGTGCAGCACTGGACTCTGAGAGACCAGATCCTCCCTTTCTGGAAGAGGGAATGGGGGGAACCAAGGCCAGGCTCCACAGCAGAGAACTATGGTTTCTTTGGCCAAAATGGGGCCACCAGAATGTGTTTGTCCTTTCCAACAAAAACTTATGCGGGACTGCTGGGATCACTGGACCCCACCAATCTTAGCAAACTAAGACCCATCTCCTTACTCCCTTTTGCCTCCAAACTCCTTGAATGTCTAGTCTACAACCAGCTGAGCTGCCATCTGATTGAGCATAACCTTCTTGTCTTCTCTCCTCAGTCTGGATTTCGCTCACAACACTCCACAGAAACTGCTCTCCTAAAACTCACAAACTACTTACTAACCGCTAAAACCAATAGTCACTATTCTGTACAATTACTCTTGGACCTCTCCGATGCCTTTGACACAGTTGACCACCCCATCCTCAAAAAAAAAAAAAAAAAAAAAAAAACACCTCTATTTACTTGGTCTCTGTGATTGTACTCTCCGTTGGTTCGAATCTTACCTACCGCACCTTCAGTGTTACTTACAACTCTACTTCCTCCTCTTCTACTCCTCTTACTGTCGGGGTCCCCCAAGGTTCTGTCCTTGGACCTCTCCTATTCTTAATCTACACTTCTTCCTTGGATCAGCTGATAGCTTCCCATTGCTTCCAATAACATTTCTATGCTGATGACACACAAAGCTATCTCTACTCCTCAGCTCACCCCATCCGTTTCCTCACGTATCACCGATTTACTAACAGACATATCAGATTGGATGTCACACCACTTCTTAAAACTCAATCTATCCAAAACTGAGCTCATAATATTTCCTCCCCCACGGGCCTCTTCTACTGATTTCTCGGTCAGGATCAATAGCACCACTATCAACCCATCCCTGCATGCCAGGGTGCTAGGGCTAACCCTGGATTCTGAACTATCCTTTCAGGCCCACATCCAATCCTTGTCAAATCATGCCACCTCAACCTACGCAATATCTCCAGAATACACCCTTTTTTAACCAATGATACCACAAAGGGAATGATCATAATAGACCTCATTCTTAGAGGAGCCAAGTCCTCCGCAAGCACTTTCGTAGAAATTCTCGGTGCTGAGGCGAGACCAAAAAGGTAGAGCCCAACACTGCCAGTGGTGGATCTCTGTACCAATCCTTACTGCTATTGTTAGATATTTCTGACATGCATGTTGAATGGGGATGTGAAGATACGCATCCCTCAGATCCAGCATAGCCATGAAACAATCTGGGTAAAAGATGTTTTTTACAGAGAAGATCCGATTCCATCCTGAAGTGTTTGTACCTTAAAGATTGATTGAGAGGGCACAGATTTAAGATAAGGCGAAACTTGCCTGAGGGCTTTTAAACTATGAAAACTTGGCAACAAAATCCCATTCCCAGTGCCAGGGAACCCAAGTAAGGACCCGTTCATCCACCAGGTCCCAATTAGGCCACACAGAGCCTGTGCCTTTTCCCTGATCGCTGGGAAGGTTGGTTACCAGATATCTGGTGGGGGGGCTGGAGTCAAACTTCAACCTGTACCCATTTTCTATCAAGTCCAGAATGTACGAGTTCAAGGGGATTGAAGCCCACTGAGGTAAAAAGGTCCCCAGTCTTCCTCCCACTGGGATGCTCGAGTCATTGAGACTTGGCAGGGCCCTGAGAAGGATTGAATGAGATCCCCCTTTACCTTTGTTCTTGTGCCCTGTCCAATTTTTCTTGGGCTGAACATTCTTACTTTGCTGGACCTGCGTTTTCTGATGAAAAATCCTCTCTTTTTACTCTCTGGAAACTCCTATAAGCTGTATGCTCCAAAGCCTCCTCGAGACCTGGACCGAAAAGATTATTGCCTGTATAAGGGCTTTTCCCAAGCTGAACCCAATTTTGCCACACAAACTGCACACTTCCTTTTGGGGGCCTGATTCTGTGTCTTGTCCTGGGTTTTAACCTACAACGAGCAGAAAAAAACAACACAGAAGATAATCAGCCCGGACTCCTCAGTCCAAACACCACTGTGCTGGGGGAGAAATCAGAAGTGTGCCCCACTGTCACCTGGATAACCCCCAGGACTCAGCAAGAGGGA